ATTTTTTCTTCCCTTTCTCATGTTTTTTTTTCTTAATTTTCAATCACTTTTTCCAATTCAGCTTAGTGTACTATCATAAATTATTATCCTCTCAGCCTATTATATGTTACTTCTCATCTGTGTGTCTGTTTGTTCAATACAGTTATGGAGATTATTTTAAATAATTGTTATAGCTTATGTTGATATATTATTTACTTCCAAATTACCACTGTTACTCATTTTTTCAAAGTTATACTGAGTTGAAATTAACAGTTTGATTACATTGACTGGATAAGTTGAAGGTAACATATGCACCTACCTTGAGATTCATTAAAAGACAACGATCCAGTAAAGAACCCCAACATGAAAAACAAGTGGAAAATATCTCAAAAGTTAGGCAAACCTCAAGCCTGTGTGACCATATGAGCAAATAGATCAAGAATATGCCTCCAATAATTTATGACCCCTCAATAACTAAATCCACAGGTATTCATTTGGATTAGATCCCATAAAAAAATTTAAAAGTTGATGGTTAATAATTTCAATGAAATAAAAGAGGGTCTAAAGAATAAACTAAGATAGAAAATACATGAAGAAGAAAAGCACTTTAAATAGCCAAGTTATGGAGGTAGTCTTAAGTGTCCCACAACAGATGAGTGGATAAAGAAAATATACATATACACAATGAAGATTTATGCAGCCATAAAGAAGAATGAATCATGTCAATTTCTGGTAAATGGATTTAATTGGAAAACATCATGCTAAGTGAAATAAACCTGACTCAAAGCCAAGGGTTAAATATTTTCTCAAATATATGAAAGGTAGAGAGGAAAAATAGGAATTTTTTAAAAAGGAAACTTATGACAATAGTAGGGAAACCAATAGAGTATAGAAAGGGAATTCAGTAGGAGAGAGTAAAAGGGCATACTCTGTACTGAAGAATGAAGCCTACCAAAATATTGTATGTCTAAGTATGTAAATACCAGGATGAATCTTGTTTTTATATCAAAATACAATGCATGAATTTAAATAATAACTTCAACCATCAATAATAATAATAATAGAAGGGAGACCAGTAAAGTAGATCAATGGTCCCAGGGGATGAATGAACGGAGAGATAGGGAAGGTAATGGGGGATGAGAATGAACAAATTATATGTGCATATAAACACATGGCATACTGAATTCCAATATTATGTATAATTATAATGTACCAATGAAAGCTTACATGTTAATAATTAAAAAAGAATAAGCTCATGGCATTTGCAGGGAAATGGATGGCATTAGAGAAGATTATGCTAAGTGAAGTTAGCCAATCCTAAAAAACAAATGCCAAATGTCTTCTCTGATATGGGGGGGGGTGACTCAAAGTGGGGTAAGGAGGGAGAGCATGGGAGGAAGATTACCTCTAGATAGGTAATAGGGGTGGGAGGGAAAGGGAGGGAGAAGGGGAATAGCTAGGATGTTGGCAGGAGATGGTCATCATTATACAAAATACATGTATGAAGATGTGAATTTGGTGTCAACATACCTTATATACAAACAGAAAAATTGTGGGATAAAGGTGTATTAAGAATTATAATGCAAAAAAATAAGAGAGCTTATGTATAATAGCATAATTTGGTGAGAACATACTTTATATACAGAGTTATGAAAAATTGTGCTGTGAATGGATAATTATGAATGTTATGCATTCCACTACTGTCATTTATGTAAGAAATGAATATATATATATATATATATATATATATATATATATATATATAAAGAATGAAATGAATTGAAAAAGGGACGCAAGATTTAAGATAAGGGATGGATAAACTTTCAGGGAAATAATAACAGAAAAAAATTTAAACCATTTACAATGAGATGGAAATCCAAACACAGGCTGCATTCAAAACTCCCAAATAGATAAAAAATAAATTATCCATATCACATTATAATTAAAATCACATAGGCAAAATTTTAAAAGTCTCAAGACAGAAATATCAGATGACATTTAGAGGTAAGCAAATCAGATTTATTTCTGCCTTCCCAGCAGAAACAAATCATTCAATAAAAATTATGTTCGATTCATTGTACTGTCTTTCCTATTCCCATCCCTCCTCCCTTTCCTTCATTCCCCTGTATCTAATCCAATAAACTTCTCTGCATCTCCTCCCTACATTCCCTTGTTATGAGTTAGCATCCACATATCAGAGAATATTTGGCCTTTGGTTTGAGGGGACTGGCTTAATTCACTTAGCATGATATTCTCCAGTTTTATCCACTTACCAGAAAATGCTGTAATTTCATTTTTCTTTCGTTGTGTGTATGTGTGTGTGTATGTGAGTGTGTGTGTGTGTGTGTGTGTGTGTGTGTGTGTGATTTTCTTTATCCATTCATCTTTTGAAGGGCACCTAGTGTAATTTTCTGATTTTATGTATTCTAGGTATCAGCAAAGGAGTGGGACAACTGGGTCAAATTGTGGTTCCATTCCAAGGTTTTTTTGGTGTGTGGGGGTGGGGTACCAGGGATTGAACTCAGGGGAAATCAAATACTGAGCTACATCCCCAGCCCTCCTCTGTATTTTATTTAATAGAGACAGGGTCTCATTGAGTTGCTTAGAACCTCACTTTTTTCTGAGGCTGGCTCTGAACTCGCGATCCTCCTGCCTCAGCATCCCAAGCCACTGGGATTACAGGCATGCACCACCATGCCCCACCCATTCCAAATTTTCTAAGAAATCTGCATACTGCTTTCACCCTAATGTAAACAGAAATAACAGCTTTAACTCTTTCTCTGTGGAGCAACTGCCCCAGGGACTGTTAGATGCTATCAGATTGTGATGAGGGGGGTGGTTTGACTAATGGGTGATTGACAGCAAATTCTGGGACTGTTTTGATCAATGGGTTAAGTTCAAAGCCAGCCTCTGCAACTTAGTGAGGCTCTAAGCAGCTTAGTGAGATCCTGTCTCAAAAATAAAAATGACTGGGGATGTTTCTTAGTGGTTAAACACCCCTGAGTTCAACCCCTAGTTCCTAAAAAAGGTTAAATTATCCCTGTTTGCAAATATTATCCTATACTATGAAGAAAGACAGACAGACAGACACACACACACACACACACACAAAGACTTCTAGAGATGATAGTCACCAGTGTAAGATACAAAATCAGTAGTTTTTCTAGATATGATAATATATCTGATGAAAATTAAATCAGAAAATAATACCATTCACAATAGCCTCAAAGTAATGAAATATCTAGGAATAAACCTCTCTAAGAAAGTCAAAGACCTCTACAAGGAAAATTATAAAACACTGAAAAAAGAAGTAGAAGACACTAGAGAATGGAAAGACCTAACATGTTCTAGGTTAGGCAGAATTGTTATTATCATAAGATACACAGATTCAATACAAACCCCATCAAAACACAAATTACATTTTTCACAGAATTAAAAGATAGTCCTGAAATTCATAAGGAAGGATAAAAGACACAGAATATCCAAAACAATTCTGAGCAAAATGAGCAATGATGAAGTCATCACATACCCTCTTTTAAATTATATAGAGAGCTATGTAACAAAAACAGTTTGGCATTGCCATAAAAAAACAGACAAATGGACCAACGGAATAGAATAGAAGACACAGAGACAAACTCACAGAGATATAGTCATTTTATCCTTGGCAAAGGTAAAACATATGTTGTAGGAAAAAAATGGTCTTTTAAGCAGGTGTTGCTAGGAAAACAGCATATCCATATAAAAAGGAATTAAACTATATCCCTACCTCTTACTCTGTACAATACAAGTGAAACAAATACCTAGGAATTAAGCCAGAAACTTTGTAACTGCCAGAAGAAAACATAGGGTCAACACTCCAAGAAATCAGCACAGGCAATAACTTCCTTAATAAAAAAGTAAAAGCTTAGAAAATAAAACTAAGAATTAATAAATGGCATGCTATAGAATTACAAAGCTTCCACATAGCAAAGGAAACAAAAGCATGAAGAGGGAGCCTATATAAGAGACAAAACTTTTGGAAAATATAAAAACTCAAAAATCTTAACACAAATATAAACAACCCAATTAAAAAATGTAAACTGAACTAAGAAAACATTTCTGAAAAGAAGAATTAGAAATGGCTAATTATATGAAAAAAAAATGTTCAATTTTTTTTTCCAAACAGGGAAATGCAAATGAAAAATACACTGAGATTTATCTTCAGTTAGAATGGTAATCATGAAGAACACAAATAATAATAAATGATGGCAAGGGTGTGGGGGAGAAAGGAACACTTACATGCTGTTTTAAATTGGTTCGACCATTATTGAAATTAGTATGGATGTTCTTCAATAAAGTAGGAATGGAACTGTCATGTGACATTCTTATGTCACTCTGTATTTATTCAAAAGAATAAAAGTCAGGGGCTGAGGTTGTGATTCACTGATAGAGCACTTGCCAAGCATGTGTGAGGCACTGAGTTTAATTCTCAGCACTGCATATAAATAAATAAAGTCCATTGACAACTAAAAAAATTATTTTTAAAAAGAAAGAATAGAAGTCAGCATACTGTAGTAATGCATGGAATACCTTTGTCTGTCTGTCTGTCTGTCTCTCTCTCTCTCTCTCTCTCTCTCTCTCCCCTGACTGATCACAATATGATCACACTCTTCCACCATGATGTTCAGCCTCATCTCAAGCTCCATGGAATGGATCCAGCCTTCTATGGACTAGGACCTCTGAAACCTTGAACCCTCAAATAAACCTTTCTTCCTATATAGTTGTATTAGCTGGGTCCTTTAGTCACAACACCAAAAAATGCTGAATAAAACAATAATTTAAGTGCAAAACACACACACACACACACACACACACGTGCATGAACACAGCTTTGCTCATATCCTCTGTTGCCTGGATTAGTAATACTATCTCTTAAGAAACTTATTTGAGATTATATATATAAAAGAGCTATAGCCTTAAAGACTAAATTGTTCCTGAGCAAGCCCCAAGGCCAAGGCCTCCAAATATATTATTTTCCTTACCTTTCTGAGTTTGCGAATGATCAGGGTCAGAAGAAGCCAGAAAAGGGTAGCTGTCAGGCCAGTACAAACAAGAATGATGATTTCAATATTGGATTTTTCATCAGAGCCTGTAGAGTTGAAGACAGAACTTACTAAAGAAAAAATAGTTCACCAGAGATTCAGAGATAAAACAGGAGAAATGTACTGCCTTTTACAGAGCATGTTTGAATTCCAAAGGACTAATGTCAGTAGATCCCATATTTTGAGTGTGTGTGTGTATCTGTGTGTGTGTTTTAAATTTTTATAGCCTGTAAGGTTTACCTTATGAGACTTAGAGAAACAAACCCTTGGTAATTGTACAGATTGTCTCAAGAAATTAGTCAAAGACTTATATATAAGAATATGTGCTTATATATTTTTGACATCTATGTATGAATGCCAACATGAGATATGTATAGTTACTCTCTATCTTATTTGCAGATTTTCTAATACAATGATTAGATAATTGTGGGATATAGCCTGATTGCCTGAATTAAATCCTGGCTCTACCTCTTACTGGTTGCACAATTTGGACATGTTACTAGTCTCTCTATGACTCATTTTCCCCATTTAAAATGAGAATAATGAAAGGTCTGAGGGTGTAGCTCACTGGTATAGTACTTGGCCTAGCATATAGAAGACCCAGATTTCCATAAAAAGTTTGTTAAGGGCTGGGGTTGTGGCTCAGTGGTAGAGCACTTGCCTGGCATGTATGAGGCACTGGGTTCCACCCTCAGCACCACATAAAAACAAATGAACAAATAAAATAAAGGTATTGTGACCATTTACAACTAAAAAAAATATTTTTAAAAATTTGTTGAAAATATAAATGGCAATAATAAATACCACATAGATCTATCAAGCATGCTAAATGAGATCATGAGAATTGATTAACACAGTATCTAACAAATAGCATATTTCAACTATCTGTAATATTATTAGGTTCCTTTTTCCTGTAGTGCACCCTGTATACTATCTCAGTGCATTGGGGGATGGAGGAATTTTATTAAACCAGCTTATATGTTTTCCCTGCTATGCCTTGGTAGAACATAGCTGAATGAGAAAGTAGTGGCTTTGGGGATGCCAACATGCTCAACTAAAAACCAATAATATTTCTTCGAAAACATAATTTTGCCCCCGACAGTTTAATACTAATTGTAGTAGCATAGGAGATTGGAGTCAAAAGACTTGTCATAGCCTTTGGCAAGTATCTTTTTTTTTGAACCTCCTATTTACAAATGAAATGTGCTCAAAATCTAACATTTTATGTTTATATTTCCAAATATTACCCAATATTTTTCAACAAAACAAAGGGAATTATTATTTGGTAAATTATATTATATAAAGCATTGCCATATCTTCACCTTCATGTGTATAACCTTTGAGAGAAAGGTAAGGCAGCTGGTATTATTCTCAGTTCAGAAATTACAAAACTGAAATCAATAAAAGCTAAATGACTTATCAAAAACGACAACAATTTCATAACAAGCATGGTATTCTGGACTCAGATTTTCCATGCCATATTTTTCACATACCCTCCCAATGAAAGCAGGCATATTAAAGAAAATATTTTAGAGTATACCTATATTCACTGTCCTACTACACTGTGCTTCCACAATCAAATGCCTTTTTTAAATTGCAACCAGGGGCTGGGGATGCGGCTCAAGTGGTAGCGCACTCGCCTGGCATGCGTGTGGCCCGGGTTGGATCCTCAGCACCACATACAAACAAAGATGTTGTGTCTGCTGAAAACTAAAATAAACATTAAAAATTCTCTCTCTCTCTCTCTCTCTCTCTCTCTCTCAAAAAAAAATAAATAAATAAATTGCAACCAAACTCTACTACTGATTATCAATGTACACAGGAATTTTTAACTTACCCTCCACGGTGATAAGAGCTGTTGTGTGGACTTCTCCCAACTCATTGGTTGCTTTGCACAGATACAGGCCCTCATCTTCTTTTTTGGCTCTTTCAATAATTAGTGTGTTATTCTCAAAGAAGATCCCTGCATTAACAATGTCCCTTCATTATTATGTGAGTTATTTGTGCTTAAACCCATCTACAGAATATGTGAAGGCCACATCTCATTAGGTCAACAAGGGTCTCATTTCCAACTCATGACAGCCCAATGGAACTGCACCAACTAAGGCCCTCTTGATGGGTCTACAGGCTTTGAAACCAACAAACAAGATTTCAGACTCACCTGAAGCAGGGAGAACAGGAATTCCATTTTTCAACCAGTGGATTTGAGGGCATGGTATTCCACCCACTTTGCAATCCAGCAAAATCTTGCCACTGTGGTTGACCTCAATATTGGTGAGATTCTCAATAATGAATGGGGCAACCCTTTCTGTATAAATCAAGGTAAAGGAAGCCAAGATACTGAGGCAGGGTACCATAAATATTATATTGGATATTTATCCCATCCCACATATTTAACTAGACATCTAGATGGCGAAGTATTGTCATACTCAGAAAAAGGAAGTAGAGATACAAAGAAAATTTGGGTAAGTGTGGGGTGATCTGCATTTGTGTCCTTCAAATTATTCCTTATCCTCATACTTAAGAGGGCCATCTTGAGCCACTTGAGGGAAGAGAAGTAGCTTTCTAAGAGTGTTGGCATCAGGACTAAAAAATTCCATCACTAGATTTTTCCATAACTACTTTACCACAGACTCTAAAATTCATGAAATCATTTTCCTTAGAATGCCTCCAAAAGAACTCAGGAAGGAAAAGGCTGATTGAATCAGTCCCTAAGGAATATAAAATCCTAAGCCTTATACTGCTTCAGAATCCACCCAACAACTGGCTCAATTTCTAAGAGAAAAGTTCCTTCAATTCTACCTCTAATAAAGAGCTGAGTGTTGAGCTGCATCATGTTGGTGATATTCTTCTGTGCCCAAGCCTTGCACTTGTACTGCCCTTTATCCTGCTGAGTCACATTCTTGATCACCAGTGTCAATGAGATGGAGTAGTTGCTTCTGAAGCTTTCAGTGTCTATAACAGGAATCTTCTCGCCTAAGGGGCTGAACCAAGCAAGTTGATTGTAGATATATTTAGCTGCTTTGCATTGGAGCCGAGCATCATAGCCTTCAATCATTGAGACTAGAGGTTCTGCCTCCATGAAATCAGCCACATCTGTATAGGTGAATATAAGCAGGCAAGTGAAGCTGATGAATAGCACCATTCTCTCTTTCTTGCCAAATTGCAGAGTTAAACATACTCCCTTGATAAATGCCTAGTAGCAAAGAGCCAACCAATTTAAGTTTTCAGCATCACTTTCTGAGTTTGTTTTTAAACCCATGCTTAAAAACAGGAAAATTGTGCATATACATATAAAATGGTTAAACATATCTACTCAAACACCTATCATTCTTCAAGTTGAAAATGTGCAAAATATTTTCTTCTAGCTTTTTCAAGTATACTGTATATCAAAATTATCTATAATCACCAGAAATTCTTATATTAATCTAACTGTAACTTAGTACCCAATTGATTAACCTAACCCCATTTTTCCATTCTCATCTTCAGTAAGCACCATCCTGCTCTCAATTTAGAATACAACAGTTACTAATAGGGCATTATGTAAAAATGTGGATGTGTAACCGATGTGATTCTGCAATCTGTATTTGGGGTAAAATTGGGAGTTCATAACCAACTTGAATCTAATGTATGAAATATGATATGTCAAGAGCTTTATAATGTTTTGAACAACCAATAAAAAAAATTAAAAAAAAAATTTATGAGATCTACTTATTTAGGTTCCACATCTGAGTGAAATTTTGAGGTAATTGTCTTTGTGTTCCTGGCTTATTTTGGATAACATATCAATCTCCATTTTCATCCATGTTTTCAAAAATGACAGGATTTTATTCTATAGTTAAACCATAGTCCATTGAATAGACTGCCACATATTATTCATTCATTCATCAGTCAGTGGATAATTAAGTTGACTCAATATTTCAGCAAGTATGAATACTGTTGCAATAAATATGGGAGTGCAGATAACTTTGAAATGCTGATTTCATTTCTTTTGTAGACCAATCAACAGATGGATCTGTCTATCATGTATCTATCTATCTATCTATCTATCTATCATCTATCTACACAGGAGTGGGATTTCTGGATCACATGCCAGTTCTAATTTTATGAGGAACTTCCACACTATTTCACATAGTGGGTGTACTAATTTATATTCCCTACAACAGTGTGCAAATTTACCTTTTTGTGTATATGATTACCAAAACTTGCAATCTTTTGTGTTTTTAATAACATCTATTCTTACTGGAGTAAGGTGATATTTCATTATGATTTTGATTTGCATTTCTCTAATTTGTAATGCTGGACTATTTTCATGTACCTCTTCTATATTTTCAAGTATGCTTTTTAGAAATGTCTAGGTCTAATACCTATTATTATATCAGACCACTTTTTTGCTATTGAGCTTTTTAAGTTCCTTATATATTATGAATATTAACTCATGGTCAGATGTATAGTTTTCAAATAGTGCCTTCCATTCTGTCCTTCATTCTGATGATTATTTCCTTTGATGTGAAGAGGGTTTTAGTTTCCTATGTTCTTATTTTCTAGCTTTGATTTTGTTCCTGAGCTTTTCAGGTCTTGTTTAAAATATTCAATTAAAATAAACAAGATGATAAACCCTTAGGCAAAGTAACCAAATGAGAAAGAGGACACACTTTAATAAATTAAAGATTAAAATGGTGGTATTATAACAGACACAACTGAAATCCAGAGGACTACTAGGGAGCATTTTGAAAATTTATATTCAAAACAATTGGAAAATTTAGAAGAAATTAAGAAGTGCTTAAGATGTAAACCTACAAAAATTGGACTAACAGGATTTACAAAACTAAACAGACTCATGATGAGCAATGAAATTGAAGTACTAATAAAAAGTTTCCCAACAAAGTCCAGGATCCATATGGATTCATAGTTGAGTTCTACCAGATCTTTAAAGAATAACTAATATCAATGTTCCTCGAATTATTCAATGAAATTAAATGAGAGGAAATATGTTCAAAATTATTCAGTGAAGCCTGTACCATTCTGATACCAAAACTAGGTAATGGAATTTCAAGAAAAGAAATATATAGACCAAAAGTATAATTGATGAGTATTGATTCAAAATCCTCAATAATATGTTAACAAGTCAAATTTATCAAAACATTAAAAATATCATGCAATATAATCATTTGGATTTAAATCAATATGCCTCATAAATAGAATCAAGGGTAGAAATCATGTGATTATTGCAATAGATGCAGAAAAAAAAAAACTTCAAGAAAATTCAATACCAATTTATGATTAAAAATTACCATGAAGAAACTGTAGATAGGAGGAACTTACCAGAACAAGACAAGGATTTTCACTTTCACAACTGCTATTCAAAATATTACTAGAAATTTTAGTTAGGGCAAATATTCAAGAGCAAGAAATAAAGGATATACAAAATAGGAAAGGAAGAAGTCAAACTATAACTGTTTGAAGATGACATGATTCTATAATTAGAAGACTCTAATGGTTCTCCCAGAAGACTTCTAGATCTAATAAACAAATTCAGAAAAATAGTAGAATACAAAATCAACATAAAAAAATCAATAGCATTTCTAAACCCCAATAACAAATTTACTGATAAAGAAATAAGAAAAAAATAATTCAATTTATAATTGCCTCAAAAAGAATCAAATAAATAGGAATCAATCTAACCAAGGAGTTGAAAAATCTCTACAATGAAAGTTACAGAATACTTAAGAATGAAACTGAAGAGGAAATAAAATATGAAAAGACCTTCCACATTCACTTACAGAAAAAATTAACATCATTAAAACAGCCATATTATCCAAAGCAATCAATAGAAACAATATAATCCCCATCAAAACCAACAGTGAAATTATTCATGGAACTAAAAAAAAAAGTTCTAAAATCCATATGGAAGAACATAAGACACAAAATACCTAAACAAAAAGAGAAGTGCTCAAGGCATCTTAGTACTTGATTTCAAAATATACTACAAAATCATAGTAATGAAAGTAGCAAAGTACCTGCATAAAAACAGACACATAGACTAATGGCACAGAATAGAAGAAACCTACAGACCCACAATCCTCTGCTTCTTCACAAAGGGGGCAAAAGCACACATTGAAGAGAAGACAGCTTCCTTAACATAAAAAAATCAAACAACCCAATCAATACATATGTAAATTAACTGAACAGACTCTTCTAAATAAAAGATACAAATGGTGTAGAACCACAACAAGAAAATATTCAAAAAATTTACCTATCAAAGAAATGTAAATCAAAATTGCACTGAAATTTTATCTTACTCCATTTAGAATGGCAACCATAACTAACATTAATAATAAAAAATATGGCAAGAATGTTGGGGGAACAATAGGATTATACATTAGTATAACCAGTATAGAAATCAGTGTGGAGATTATTTGAAGGCTTAGGAATAAAATATGACCCAATTATACCATAACTCCTTAGAATAAAAGTCAAAATATTGTAGTGAAGGAACATCCCAGGTGGCAGTCAGTAGATTACTCATAAAGAAAATATTATACAGAGAGAGAGAGAGAGAGAGAGAGAGAGAGAGAGAGAATGGAATTTTACTCAGCCATTCAGAAGAATGAAATTTAATCATTTGCAGTGAAGTGGATGAAACTAAACATCAACAGGTTAAGTGAAGTAAACAATAATCAGAGTGTGAAAGGGCATATATTTTCCCTCATATGTGGAAACTACAGAGAAAGAAGGAAAACTAAAGGAGGAATTTCACTAAAAGAAATTGGAGACCAGCAAAATAGAAGTTCAAGGGGAATGAGAAGGGAAGGGAAAGGGGAGGTACTGGGGACTGAAACTGATCGAGTTATGTGATGTTCATGTACAAATATATCAAAATAAATCACACTATTTTTATAATTATTATGCACCAATAACATTTTTCTTTAAAATGAAACTTTCAAAAGAGTAACATCCTTAAAAAATTAATCCTTTAAGTTCAATATTTCCTTAGGAAATATCTGTTTATAGATGGTGTGAGTGTGTGTATTGTTAAAGACTCTTCTAAAATATTATCAGAACTAATAAATTAAGCCAGTAATGTTTAGGGATACAAAATATGAGTTTCTTTATCCATTCATCTGTTGAAGGGCTCCTGGATGTATCTGGAAACTATCATGCTAAGTGAAATAAGCCAGTCTCCTGAAATCAAAGGTCCAATGTCTCTCTGATATGTGGATGCTAACACACAACGAGGGGGTATTTGGGGAATAGAAGTTCACTTATTAGCAAAGGGGAAAAGGAGGGGGATAAGAATGGGAAACCCAGTGGAATTAATCTGATATGCCTTTCCTATGTACTTATATAAATGCACCAAAATGAAACTGGGTTTGTAGTTCTATAGTAGAGCCCTTGTCTTGCATGTGTGAGGCACTGGGTTTTATCCTTAGCATCATGTAAAATAGATAGATAGATAGATAGATAGATAGAGGTATTGTATCCAACTATTACTAAAAACCTATATATAAAAATATAAATGCACCGAAATGAATCTCCACATTGTGTACAACCACAAGATTGGGATCTAATTAGAATAAGATATAATCCATGTTTGTATAAATATGTCAAAATATACTCCACTGTCATGTATAACTAAAAAGAACAAACAAAAATATCTGAGTTTCATTTTAAATGCTAATGGCAGAGAACACTTTGCCCACACACTAGGCACAGCACTAAATTACTTCCCAGGTGGGTATGGGAGAGTTTTATGATATTTATATGTAAGGTTCCTATTATGAAGAGATAACACATGAAGTTTCTTGACTGACATGACAAGGTAGAACAGTTTCCTTGACTACAAGTGTCTTCACTACTCCAGTATTATCACAAGAGTACCAAACACTCTAAATGTCTGCAATTAGAGATTGTTAATATATGTATTGTCCAATTTACAATGTGTATGTACAGCCATGATCTCAAGTTAATTCTCATTAAAAAAACGGATACAAGTAATATTATCAACTTCTTTTCAATGATGAGAAAAACTACTCAATAATTGAAATAAACAACACTGATACCCCAAGTACATTGGTTTTATTTTGTATTTTTGC